CCAAACCCAATTGTCAAGTTCAGCCCTTTTTTTTTTTTTTTTTATGTAGGATATCTCTTATACTCTAATAAAAGATAATAATGAAAGGTATGACACGTATTAGGTATATTCATGTAAATTAATAAATGCACTTAATATCTGAAAGTGAAAACTTAGTCGGTTGCTAGTGCCACCCTTCGGTACCAACATTTGTGTTAGGCAAAATTAAGCCCAATTCAAGCCCAATTCATTTTTTTTTTTAAGTAAGGATATAAATAGGCTGGCTAAAATCGTCTTTTTGACTTTTGAGCCATAAACTATGGGCCTATTAACTCGAAATAAAGCCTTAAACTATGGGCCTGTTGCAATCCTCTGTCGCCTGTAACAGTGCTCGAAAATTCGATATAGAATTTGCATGGCATTAAGCACTATATTTAGAATTTATTTGTATAAAAATTAATAAAAAATAAATTTAAAAAAAAATTAATATTAAAATATTTTTGAATCAACAAAAGAGAGGGATGATATTTTTATTTAATTAAATAATATAAAAAATATAATATAATATTATTAAAAATTATTTATTAAATAAATAATTAAAATAAAATTTTTATATTTATTTTCTAAAAAAAATTTAAAAAATAAATAAATGAATACACAGTTAAAAACCATCGTAATCCTTTCAAATTAGGAGAACATAAATTAAAAGAGACTGGAAGGGACTTGATCTCCTTCCATCTCTTTCCCCTCAATTAAAAAGGGCCATTCAAATAATTTTTTTTTTTTAAAAAAAAAACACCTCTCTATCCCTCTAAATTTCATAATCTGAACACATTGTTACGCTACTTAGTTCAAATATCCAAACAGTATAATAGAGATTTGAAACCATCTGAATGGCATCTAAATTGTATTGCTCTAGGATGTTCCACTTCCATCCATTTTCATTATTGTTCTCAACATGCTTTTTATAATGCCTAACTAAGCTTCCCTCTAGGGATGGGAATTTCCTCCATAACTTGCGGAGCTTCAGGGAGATCATTCTCGTGAGATTCTAAGAATATTTCTTTCCATGGGGCGAGGATAAAGGTATCTTTTTCCCATAATATTTCATAGAGAATTTTCTTCACCTCATGAAAAACTGTGGAGGTCCATATAAAATTAAAAAATATATAAATTTATGTTTACATATATATATTTTAAATATATTAACAATTAATTTTTACTTACCCAACCTAATTAGTTAACCAAATACCAATACAACCTAAATTTCACAACCAATTCTTTTTTTAGTTTTCCCAAACCCAATTATCAAGTCCAGCCCAATCCGCTTTTTTTTTCTTTTTTTGTCAATCTAGTCTTCCTAAACTTAATTGCCCAGCCCAATTTGCATTGGTAACCCTAGAAGGACTATCCAAAAATTTCAATTTCAAATTTGTGATTCCTCCTCTCCAATCTCCTCTATGGCTCTATGCTGTAACTATTTTTTTACTCTTCAATCCTCATCTATGATTCCTTTTTAGCTCTCACCATCACTACCCATTGTGCAACCACTGCAACGTTGATCTTCTCTCATATCTCACTCACACTCAACTCAATAACTCTTCTCCAATCTCTCAACCAGTCGTCGGTAACTCATCTCTTTTATGCCCTTTTTCTTAATGACCTTATTGCTAGACATGTATGGTAGTAGTTTATGCTTTTTTTTTCTATGAAATTTTCAAATGACAGTTGCAGTTTATGCATTTTTTTTATGAACCTTTCGTTGGATTTGTTGGACTTATATGGCAATTTATGCCTTTTTTTCTTTATGAATTTGTTACTGACTTGCTAGACCTACTTGACATGTATATATCTTGGCTGTGTATATTTATTGCTGTTTTTCCTGTTTCAAATTTTTACTTTATATGATTATTTAAACTAGTTTTATTTGATAAATGTAAAAACCAATGGACTCTAAGCAGACTCATGTTGAGCTTAATTTTGATTAACAAGCAGCGGAGCAAGTTATAGTTTTATTTGACGGGGACTCCGAATACCTGTAGGGACCTATCATTTCCTGTAAGTATGGAGACAGAGGCTATTTTTGAACCTTCACCAAAAATTTCGATGGAGATCCCCATACTCGTCATTGGCAGGGATGGGGATGGGGATGAAGAAGGGGTTCCCACCCTCGTAGAGACCCGTTGTCATCCCTACTTTCCTCTCCCTCTGGGTTTAAGATCATGAAGGTAATTTTTGTTTCCTTGTGCTATGTGTCTAGAATTTATATTTATTTAGATGCGTATATCATATTGCTTTAATATGATCCTTGTAAGTCAAGTCAAGAGTTTAAAAATATATTATGTCAACAGAAAGTTCACTTTTAAAATTATTTGAAAGAAATTAGAAAAGAAATATGTAAAAATTAATTTAAAAACATCATAACATATAGTAAATACAAAAAAAAAAAAAAAAAATTGCATTAGTGTATCATTTGATTTTTCTATTGTGGTAAAATCGCTTTCAGAACTTTATAATTGATACGATTTTTTTGGTTTTTTGCCTGTATTTTTTAAATACTCATAATTCGGTTAAATAGTGTTTATGCAGTCATACAAGCTAATACAAGATGGATAAGATTTTTTTATTCATACCAAACACCTGCATTTTCATACAGACGATCTTAGATTGAAATTAAGATATAGTAAGATTCACAACGATATTATGATCACTTGGATGCCAGCAGGGCCTCCCTCCGACTTTTCAAGAATGCTAACATATCCTTGAATTCGGGGAGGTTTTCTTTGATTACAGGATCTTCCTTGAAGTTCTTCATCCAGGGTTCCAGGCGAGGGAACTTCCCGGCTTCCATTATCTGAACCCCGGTGACTTCTTCAATGATAATGTGACTCCAAAGATTTAATTATAATGGTTAAACAAATGGGTTGGAACAGAATGACTATTTTATAGATGTTCCTGAAAATAGGGTAAGGAAAATCAAAAGTAGAGATTATTTACCATTAATTTCTATGACCTTGAAATCTAGGACCACTACTACGTCACATAAAAAGGCACAAGGGTCTACTAAACTGAGAACAAATTGGACCATGCATAATAAATACATATGTAGAAGTTCGGCTGTGGTTATGGTTATGATTATTTTATATTAGTTTAGTTATTAAAAGTAATTAATAATTAATAAAATAATTAATATTTATTATTTAATAAAAATAAATTAATTTATAACTAAATATTTTTAAATATTATAATTAAGTATATAAAAAAAATTTAATTGATAAATATTACAACAAATTATGTGGCACTAACAAATTTATGTGTAGTAAGAGCCAAAGCCTTGGATATCTATTATACTCTAATAAAGGATAATAATAAAAGGTATGACACGTATTGGGTATATTCATGTAAATATGTAATAATCTCATCAGTCAATTAATAAATGCACTTAATACCCGAAAGTGAAAACCTAGTTGGTTGCTGGTGCCACCCTCTGGTACCAACATTTGCGTTAGGCAAAATTAAGCCCAATTCTTTTTTTTTTAAAGCAAGGATATAAATAGGCTGGCTAAAATCGTCTTTTTGACTTTTGAGCCATAAACTATGGGCCTATTAACTGGAAATAAAGCCTTAAACTATG